CCTGTTTCCTGCTGAACTGGGAACTTCCCTTCTGCAAAACAGCAACACCCAAGAGTAAAGGAACCTTTCAGTAGTTCCCCAGGCAGCGGCTGCATGGCCTGATAGGGTTCATGCTCCCTTTCCATTGCAGCTGGATTTAGAAAGCAGCCATTTGTATAGGGGTGAAGAAGCAAATCCCTGTTGGTTAAGGTTTGCTTAGAAATCACCTCATCTAAGTGATCAGGGGGCTCATTTTTCTGTTGTTGTTTTTGTTACCGGTGTTCAACAGCACTAGAGAAATGTGAGCAGATGTTGAATGCAATAACTGCATATCTGCGATAGCAGCTAGTGTGTCAGTAACTTACTGAGCGTCATTTTATGTTTTTGAGTTGTTTAAAACTGTAGGGACAATTTTAAGAGACAATTTTAAGGTTGGCAATGAAAGGAAATATATTTTCGTATATAAAATAGCTTTTGGATGTCACAAACACATGTAGCTGACCACATTCTTGGTGATGTTTGAGTGTTGTATTTTTGCAAAGTTTTGAAACTACTTGAAGGTAAATTGGAGATTCTGGCCAAGAAATTTGGGGTCACATTAGCTCTACTTGCAATGCAGTATTTGATCATTTAATTTCTAATGAATCCTTAGATGTTGCATAGATGCTGGGAAAATTTTGGAAGTAAAATGCTTCATGTAATTTGATCGCATGTAATGCTTTGCTCCTTAATATAAAAAAAAAAAGCATGTTTTTTTATTTCTGATCCTGCTGCTCTTTAAATCTTTCTCTTACACTTGCTTGGCATCATTTGTGTTTTGCACTGCTATTAATTTCTCATTGCACGTCTGCAATCTTCCATAAAGCCTGGAAAAGCATCTGCTTCTGTCTGTGGGCCATGCACATTCCTGTGCTTGTGATCTTTCAGGGTAGCGTTCTGGGCTCTGAGCTTGATTTCTGACTTTGCCCATCTCCTCCTTTGTTGTTCAGCACATCTACCTAGAACTTAAGGAGTGAGATGTTGAAATCTGGCTTCTCTCCCATAGAGCTTTGACTACTGGTTGTGCCTGAAGTGTGAGAGGCAGGCAAAAACGAGAGGGTACATCATGGGACGGGTAGCTGCAGTGCAGAGATTGTACCTCAGTCATCTATAAAAGCCTTCAGTGTAGTAAAAATCAGATTTCATGTTGATTGACTCAGGGTGTATGTGGGAAATTCTGAAGCTACTTATTGACAGATCATTAAGACAGTGATTAGGAGGGTGTTTCCTAAGGTGCTTCTACTATGTTTCACTAGAGGAGAAAAATTCAGGGCAAGGGAGAAGAGAGATGAAGCAGGACTTTAGCGTGGAGGCAAGAGTTCAGGTCTTGGTCCATGCTGTGGACACTCCAGTGATCCACAGGGGAATGATCTGCTTTTTAGCTCAGGCTTAACTAAGTGGGTGACCCAGAAGCCATCATGCTGAAGTGTAGAGCAGCTTTTTCTCATTGTGGGAGTGCAGTCAGGAAGGAGACTGTGTCCCAAGGCAGAGATAGCCAGCGTTTGAGCGCTTTGTGCTGAAGGTGGTGGCTTGTGTGGAGTTGTGCAGCCTGCAGCAATAGCACCATTACCGGACAACATGCCCTTTGCTGGTTTTAAGGTGCCTGACCATGAGGTGGGTGGCTGGTATTGTGCCTTGGACTCTGCAGGCTCAGGCAGCATTATGGGAGCGGGTGACTGCAAAGGTAGCTGCACAGTGTTTGGCAGCCTCTTGCAGCAGGTGCTGAAACCTGGGTGGCTTTTCCATGGTGCAGCGTATCACTTGGTTACAGCACACTGAGAAAAACAGGCTGTGTTAGAGCCCATGGCCAGCTTGTTCAGATTAAAGCAGCAATTGCTTTGGGCCAGCTGGGCTGTTTGAGCTGCAGTGATCTTCTCCTCTGTGGCCTACACTGAATTTAGGAGTTAACCTGTTGGTTTCCCTTCACATCCTTTTATCAGTGACTTGTGTTTGAACGCCAAGGGCATATCCGTTCCTTTTCCTGTTTGTCACTCGGCGTATTTTCCTCACTGGAGAGTTGTTCTTCCAAGCAGCAGTCCTGCTTCGGGTATTTGGGGTGTTCCTGAATCTCATCAAGCCAAACTTGAGCAGATTCCAGGAGCCTCAGGATCCCTGTTGTCTGCAGCTGTATGGTCCTGCCTGCGTCTCTTGCCTGTTTGCTTTCTGATGGCTTTCATGCTTTTGCGGTATTATTCTAGCAGTCCAAATCTTCTTTTCAACCCCATCTCTGTGCAATGAATTTTCATTTTGCTTGAGTTGTTTTCCTCCCTGCTTTTACTTCACAAAGCCAACTACCTCATTCAACTAGAGTTATATTTGAGCTGTGCTGTTTTCTGTGTCTTGTCAGCAGGAGACGGAAAACATTCTTGACTGTTAACTGTTGCACTGTGGGTCTAAACATCTTTTTCTTTGTTGTAGTTGCTAAACAAACCGGAAAACTGCTGTGGACTTAAGGAAAGTCAAATACTTTCTCTGCTTAGTGACATTGGTACGTAGTCTACTGCCTTTCTTATGTTTTGGTTTTTGGGGTGTTTTTTTGTTATGTGTAACGGCATTTTGCTTTTTCAGCTGACCCTGAAAAGGGGACTAACAAGAACAGGGGGTTAAAACGAATCAGGTTTCTATTCCAGAGGAAGGACTTGGTATCCCTGCTGATTACCAAGGCAAGAAGCTTGAACTATGATGTGTCTGTGGAATGGGATTGGAAAAGCCCATGTAGTACTCAGTTGCAGGTAACTGTGACCTTCACGTTTTGTTATGTTAAGGTCACAGTTTTCTGTTCAAACCCCGTTTCTGTTCACGGCTCTGGAGATGCCAAATTGCATGTCACTTGAAGGAATGTAACTTTTACAAGTGAGAAGTGACAAAGTTACCCTGTGGCTTCACTGTGTAGGGTTTGCTTAGTAGGAGGGAAATTATGTTTGTTTAGTGTGACAGTACAGTGGAAATGATAAAGTGGAGCAGAGCTGAGAGCAAGGTAGGTAAGACCATAGCAGAAGAGGAAGTCAGCCGTGCCGTGGCTAGTCCAGCAACCTTCTGGCTAATGATTTGCTCTTAACTGAGGGTTAATTAGGTAGGTGATCCCAAAATAAGTGCACCTAAATGTTGAGAAGCTTCTCATTTTGGAAGGGTAATTCTGGTGCTCTGCATTAGAGTTGTGGCTATAGCACAGCGATGGAGATCATTGTCTCCTATACCCAGCACTGGGGAGACCATATCTGGATACAGTTGTCTACATCTGGCCCCAAGTTCCAGAGGGATGTGAAGATCCTGGCAACGTCCTGCAAAGGCTGCCCAGGGCCTGGAGCATCCCATGCACCAGGAGATGGGCTTGTTGGGTGTGACTGCAGGGAGGCTGAGGAGGGTCTGAGAGCAGCCTGTGGCTACAGAAAGGGCAGATGCAAAGGTGGTAGATGGGACCAAACTGTACTTGGTGAGCAGCTTGACAAGGCAGCCCTGTCTTGCACCATGGGAGGCTGAAGTGTGAGGTTGGCGAAGAAACCTCCTTTCTCACCAACACTGCTGTTGTGCTGTGCATGGCCCTAGGGAAGGTCCCATGGCAGCCTACAGGGTGGCAGAGTGATGACAAGATGAGAATTAGCCAGACATCAACTTGATCTGTGTTACGGACGGTGTGTGATACTATTTGGATTTCAGATTCTACAGTTTGGAAAGGGAGCAGGCAGCAAATCCATACAGAATGGGACTAATCCAAGGTGATAGCACTGCACATAGAGAACAATTTAATCTGATACCTTTGGCTGCCTGCTTTAAAGCCATTTCACAAGGCTGTAGTAATCTGTGAAAATCATTCTGTGACACAAACTTGATGGTGTCCAGAAGCATTTAATCAAATATCTCATTTTTCAGACTGTTGAGCTTTAGCTTGCTTGATGCCAAATTCCTGACCACTGAGAGCACTGTAAGAAAATAAAAGATGAGAGATGTCAAACTGGCCTTCTTGTCCATCCAGAAGCGCCCAGCTTCTTGGATACTCTGGGGAGGGGACAAGTCATCTGATTGAGGGTGATGCCTACAGATGGTTTCTCTAGCAAGTAGGCTTTGCAGGAGAGCTCCTCAGTAGACCTCATGGTTTTTTTAGTTCTCTTAAGGATAACCTGTTTCTACTTGCAGGAGTGGAGCTAGTTTTATCATGAGAAAGCATTTTGGATGTATTGGCCTGGGCTTCTGTCCTTTCAGTGCTCAGAGGGTTTGCAGTTGAGATCCCAAAATAAAGCGCAACTCTGCGTTCCTTCATCTTTGTTCCCCTTCCACCTGTGGAATGGGGTCTGTTGTCTTCATAAGTTGAATGTCTCTGGCAAAGATTTGGAAATGCAGTGGAGAATAAATGCAAGTCAGAAGCTCTTAAATGTATAAATGACTGATATATCAGCGAAAGTTGGGGACTTTTTCCCTGATGGGGGCAAGTGTTTGAATGGTGGACAAGGTATGTTTGTTGAACATTTATCTTAAAATAATCCCGTAAAGAGTTTACAGTCATAGCTGGTTAGAAGTAGGCTTTACACAATGTGCAGTCAGAATATCTTTTGCATAGGAAAATTTTAAATACCCCATGATGGAGATGAGAAAATACAATACGTGCCTTGGGCCTTTCATGGGACCTTCTATTTTATTTCCACTTGCACATCTCCAAGATTGAAAATCATGACATAAAAAAAGTTGTCTTTTGCTGTTTTGCCTGTGCCTTTGTCCTGTAGCAGACACTTGCTTGATAATCTTTTATTTAGCAGCCAGGATTGTTACTTGGGTGGACCAGTTGTGAATTTTCCCCTTCCCGCAGGCAGTTTTTATTAGTATTTTTATTTATTTTTTATTTATATGGTCCCCTCAAGGCAGTTCAAGTGCGGACTCTTGCCACAAGGCAAAATGCAGCTCTTTGCCTATTCCCTTCCCTATTGCAGCGACTCCTGTACCCAGGCAAGGAGCAGGTTCCGGAAACCAGCCTGGCTAAAACCTGATTATTTTTTTCTTGGTAGTTTCCTGATGGATTGATCCCAGGATCAAGCTGATCACGCGGTGCCATAAATGTTTGTGCTGCCATGGAAATTGTGTCTGGGAAAAGAGGGTTTGGGAACCTGTGTTCCTTCTGGTGACAGCCCTCACGCAGATTGGCTTAAAAGCAATCACGGCAGTTCATTTTTAGCGGTGGGAGTGACAGGAGTGGTGTTACTTGGAACACACCAGTCCCTCACCAGCAGAGGGGAACCCTTGAGCCCCTAAATTCAGTGTTGCTAACACTGACCAGGGCATTGGTGGGGGCACCTTGGTCAGCTGCTCCACACAGCGTTAACTAGAGGCTTCCCAGGAATCACTTTGTAGCTCCAGCCGTGCTTCTGCTTCATCACAGCTGGATGGTCCCTTCCCTGATGGGGTGGTTTGCATTGTGGTGCTTTGGCAGTAGTGGAAGTTTACTAGGAGCTCTATAAGCCACTATTTGGCAGTAGTTTTAGGTCAAAGGGAAACTCAGCTTATTTCATTTGCTTAATTAATTTCAGTGCTTTCTTCCATCAGCGTATTGCATAATGTGCTTACATATATAAATAGGTCTTTTTGTTGTACTGTGTTAATTTACCAAGATTTTAAGCTAGAGGACATGCAGAGCTGTTTCAAGCTGCCTGCACATTTTGGAGACCTGTTTTGCTCGTCTGCGTGCTGTGGTTCATTTTGTAACTCTACAGTTTGAAAAGAATTCAGGTGCCTTATCTCTTGCCTGCAAGGCAAGAGAGATGACCTGCGGTTATGCCACGAGGTCTGAACTCTGTAGGAACCTCAATTTCTGCAGAGCAGAGGAACAGAGCTAGTTCAGTCCTAGCATAAATCTGACAGATCTTTTAAGTCAATACTTCTTAATGGTGCTTTAAAATGAAAATTTATTGATGTGAACCCCAAAGTCAGGCATATTAGGTTTTTATCAGATGTATCTCCAATCAATGTGAGTTTATTTTCGATTAAACACATGTCTTTCAGGGTCTGGTATCCAGTATTTGCATGAAAACAGAATTATACACAGAGATTTAAAGCCTGAGAATATTGTTCTTCAGGATGAAGGTGGGAAGGTAAGTCAGGTGGCTTCTGTTAGTTGTGTTCCCACTGTCATTTCTGGAAGTTGCCAGCAGCTTTGTCGTACCTAAGAGAAATAAAAGAGAACAAGTAATCTGTGGCATTGAACTGGGCTGAAAACTCAAGTGTGACTATACTAGAAGTTTACATCTTCTTGAAGCCACAATTCCTATTTTGCTTATTCTTAAATGCTTGCCATTAAAAAAAAACAACTTTTGCTTCTGTTCAAGAACCCTGCCTGCAACAGAATATGAGTGGTATGAGATTGTAGTGTATCCTTGTGTTTGTGGCCTTGAGGGCTGTGTGTAAAATCGAGCTCATTCAGAGAGTCAGCCTAATGAATTTCTTAGTGAAAATTGTTTTCTCTGTTGTTACTCTAAAAATTAGTAACTTTCAATTCCAAAATAAAAAGCTAGATATTCTGTTTGGCCAAGCTGTAACTTACAAGCTGCTTTAAATAAAGTCTAGCCTAAGTTGAGATAGGTGGACAATGCCAGCTTATGTGGTGAAACAGCAAGCCTTAAGACTGTGTCACATGTCAAAACTTCACCATGGACTTTCTCCAGAATGTCCATTCCGGCTTTCCCATTCTTGAGTGTATGCTGTGGGTGTCACTGCATAGGTTTTGGGTTGTTTGGTATTTGTTTTTTTTTTTCTCTGAATTTGCTCTTCTGATGAATTACTTAAACTGTCTACAGATTGTTCACAAAATAATAGACCTCGGATACGCAAAGGATCTGGATCAAGGAAGCTTATGCACTTCATTTGTTGGAACATTACAATATTTAGTAAGGCTTTTATTTTTTTCATGTATACAAGTGATGTGGTATTGCCATGTTTTATAGAATCACAGAAGTGTGTCAGAAGGGACCTACAGAAGTCCCTTGTCCAGCCTCCCACTTGCAGCAGGACTGTCACCAGCAGTAGGTCAGGGCAGCCATGGCGTGGGCCAGCCAAGCCTTGAGACCTCAAAAAATGGCGATTCTGCACCTTCCTGGGGACCTGTCTCAAGGGTATTCCCCCTCTCCAGGGGAAGAAGTATTTCCTCATGTCCAACCTGAACCTCCCAGATGGTGATCTGGGGCTGTTGCCCCTCATTGTATCACCTGTTGCTTCCAGGATGAGTTTGGCCCCATCCATCCCCTCTATCCCTTCCTGTGCCACAGTTGGGGTCTGCTCTCAGCTGCCCACCACCCCCACAACTTCCCTACAGCCAGACCCAACAAGCTCAGCTCCCTCCCATCTCCTCATGGGTTGGGTGGTCCAGGCCCCAACCCACCAGGCAGCCTAAGTGGGGCCACATCAAGATCCCCATGCTGCTCTGGAACTGAGAGCCACGCCTAGACACAGCTTTGTCTCTGCAGATATGCAAGAAAATAGATGACCTGAAATACCACTTTCGGTGTGGTTTTTTTTGTGATCCTTTTTAGGCTCCAGAACTCTTTGAGAATAAATCCTACTCAGTTACTGTTGATTACTGGAGCTTTGGAACGATGGTGTTTGAATGCATTGCAGGATTTAGACCTTTCTTACATAATCTACAGCCGTTTACCTGGTAAGACACTTATTCTGCAAGAGGTGGTGCCAGGCAATAGGAAGAATAGCTACTGCGTGTGGTGAGGTGACAGCATGAACCAGAATGACAAATTTGTTGTTATTTAGGTGCTGAGGCTGGTGGTCCACTAAGCTTTGCAGAAGCGATTGATACTTTAGTAAAATTGGGTATTTATACATATTGTAGTACATGCTTATGACATTATGTAGTAGCCTCTGGTAATTCCTTCAAGTGAAATTTGAATCAAAAAATACAATGATAAACCATTCTGTGTATCAGTGTCAGAAAAATGTAATGGGAAGGAGTAATACAGTCCTTTGTTCACCTAGGCTGTGAGGTTACTTATTTTTAGCAATCGGTACACACAGCAAGACAGAGCATGTTTCATGTAGTAAACACAGTTACACGTTTGTAAGTAACTTTACAAAAGTGATGGCTGAAAGACTTTAACCTGCATAAGGAGGTTTCTGCTTGCTTTTTGAGGGCTAGAAGAAGAGGCAAAAATATATATTTTTGTATTTCCACTTCTTACCTTTCAATACCAGGAGTGTATTGCTTGTTTTTTAAAAGGGTGATTACGCAACAGAAAAAATATGAAACTTGCTTTTCTGTTAGTGTTGAAATAGTAACAGGAGAAAAGGTAAATCTGAGATTTTGTGTAAGCATTAGCTTAAAAAAATTATTAACAAAAATGAATTTTAACCAATATGTTACAATAGTTTCCCTTTTAACTGCTAATTCTTGGGATTTTATTATTTTAATAGTTCAATATTTGTTGCATTTTTTCCAACATGAAAAACTTGATTTCCTAATGTAAGTAGTAGAAAACTAATAAATAAATGAGGTTATAAACAGCTCTTCCTGATCCATAAAAGAAGGAAGAGAACAGCGCAGGCCACACACATGTAGCTTCCATTCCAGTTGGGGCTGCCTGGCACAGAGAGCAGGCTGGCAGCCTCCAGAAGCAAGAAGCACTCAGCTGCTGCACAGCTGACTGATGGCTGTCCCCTGTCCTGGGAGATCCTGCTGCTGCGGGAGCAGCTGAGCTCTCGCAGGGCTCACACCACCACTAAGCAAGCCGAGGTGAGGCAACACTGAGGCAGAGTTGCTGGTGGTGCTTTCCTTGGTACTGGATCCAATAGCATCCTGTGTTTCTAACGCTTGCTAGATGCTTCACTCAGATTTTTTTGTTTTGCCAGATGACTTGCAAATCTTACCTGTCTCATTAATGTGTGGAGGCTGATTTTTGTTGTTCAGGCTTGCTCTGTGGTCTGTGAATTGTTACCTGTAGACCCTCTTCTTTGATGCTGTCCAGACCTCCTTGCAAGCAGGTGCAAGAATGTTTCCAGAGACAGAATTAATTGCAAGGGCTCCTGCTTCCAATTGGAGTTATTCTGGGTGGATTGTTTGGAAATGTCATCTTTGTCCTGAAAGAAGAGTTTGTTTTCTAAAGCTGCTAGGCTGTGGCACTTTTTGCTGCTGCCATATTCAGTTGGCCCTTTACAAAAGTAACGTTGTCGGTATATCCACAAAGCACTTTATTTTCTAGGCATGAAAAGATCAAGAAGAAGGATCCAAAGCACATCTTTGCTTCTGAAGAGATGAATGGGGAGGTTCGCTTTAGTACCCATTTGCCACAGCCTCACAGCCTCTGTGGGTAAGTGTGTCCTTGTGGCTACAGGTGACAATTTTTGGCTTGTCTTTTAAACCGAGGGCGGCTCCTCCTTTCTCCCAAGCACCAAGGGGTCCTCCTCCTTTCTCCCGAGCAGTACTTCAAGCTCCTGGCAAGCTACTGTTTGCTGTTAAGGAACAGCCTGTAGCCCCATGGTGCTTCTTTGATACTTTGGCCTCTCCAATGGCAGTTTACCCTGCAGTTTGTTGGATGATGGCAGTTCACCTTGCAGTATGAACTCTCTGACTGCTTTCCACCCATTCGCACAAGGCCACTGAGTAACATCTACCCTATAACTTGTTGGTGTTGTGTCTCATAAACCAAGTACTTGAGTTAGCTGCTCCATGAAAGCAGAAGCTTCTAGTACTCATGTTGGGAAAACTGCTGCAAGTCCAGCACAGGCCACAAAGATGGTCAGAGCCTGTTGAATAGAACATACAAAGAGAGGCCCATGAAGCTGGGCTTCTTCAGTCTGGTGAAGAGAAGACAAAGGGGGATCTAACTTTGTCTTCTACTATCTGTTGGGGCGTTACAGATCTAGGCTCTTCTCAGAGGGGCAAAGCAAAAGGACGAAAGGCAACAGCAGAAGTTACAAGGGAAACAAAATTTAGGCACAGGAAAAAGGTTTCCCCATGCTAGTGATGTGTCCCTGGGACAGGGCCCTAAGCAGTGGGGGATCTCCGTCTGTGGAGACTTCCCAGACTCACTTGGACACAATCCTGAGCAGCCTGCTGTAGCTGCCAATGTGGCCCTGCTGTGAGCTGGAGTCAGACCAAAGACCTCCAGGAGGTCTGTACCAAGTCAGAAGTCAGACTGTGATCATTTGTCACTTATTTAGCACTTGTGGTTTTAGATGTGCTCAGCAGTGCAGTGCAACTCATTGGCATTGGCAAATTTCTAGGAAAAGTACTGGAGTTGAGAATGAAATAAGTGGCTTTGTGCCAGTGCTTTGGGCTTTTTGCACTGTGTACTGTCTTTAAAGACCTTCTTGACAATGAACTTACATGTTTCTTGTGTGGATAAACATGGAGGAGAACCTTCCAGGCGGTTCTACAGCATGGGGATTGTTATTCTCTAGACAAGGCTTTGAAAATTATCCACTTTTATATGTATCACAGACAGGTTTTGGAGGAAAAAGAACCAAAAAACAATTCTCCCCTTTATCCATTTTGACACACCTTACTGATGTGTCAAGATACTTTTGACTCAGTGAATAGGAGTCAGGAGAAGTGTAATGCAAGGTGTATTGGTGGGGTGTATGCTCTTGCTGAGGTCAGTGAAGACTATAGTTACAGTGGGGGTGCTCTCTCTGTATGTGCCTTCCTGCCCTTCCAAGCTTTCCCTGCTGTTGGGATGAGCGACTGCAGCAAAATTGCTGTTCTTCACACATGTTCAGCAGATGTTGCATGCATACAGTCTCTAAACAAAGAGTTGCAACCTTATTGCTGTTGCGAGACTCTAGTTTCCTAAGTGTAGTAAGAGTGTTGTAGAATGTCCGAAGTGTCCTAAGAGTGTTGTAGAATGTCTGCCTTCTCTCTCTGATGGCCCTTCTGTTTCAGTTTAATTGTAGAACCGATGGAAAATTGGTTGCAACTGATGCTGAATTGGGATCCACAGCAGAGGGGTGGAGGTTTAGATCCTGAAACCAGTCGTCCAAAGTGTTTCCTAATAATGGATCACGTACTGAATTTGAAGGTGAGTGAGGGTTTTTACTGGGTTTAAAGGCCTACTGAACGCATCTCAGAGGAGAGAAAGTGTGTTCAGTGGAGTAAAGCTGCAGGATCATGAGGAATGTTTTTGTTGGTATCAGGAAGTGAGTGGATATACAGCCTGTCCAGTACATATCTGAAGGCAAAATATCAGCAGCAATATTAATCTCTAGCTTTACACTTGGAGTAGAAGAAGTAACAAGTCCCTATGTTACTGTCTGTCATCTCAGAAAGGATTCACCAAGATCAAATAATGGTTTAATATTTGCTAATAACAGTTTTCCTGGACTCCACTACTGATGCTGTCACCTCCAGGTCCATGTACTATAGTAGTAGTATGCCTGTAGTAGAATAGAGATTACATTCACCTGACTCTTTCCTTTCAAGTAATTATTAGAACTTTGCTGGAGTAAGATTAGCTGAGGCAAGCATGTGTAGAAGTGTCCTGGTTTCAGAGGATGATTTTTCTGATCTGGAAAGATTCCAAAGGAATTAAAGCCCGAAACACAACATATTGTGCCCATAATTGGGATTTGTCACAATATGTATATCGTGGTGTGGTTTAGGTCCTACAGTCTCTGCCCAGATAAAAGTAAAACTAAAGAGAGCGCCATCAGAGCAGTGAGAAGACAAGCGCTGGTATGTAATTTGTACAGAGGGTTTAAAGAAAATGGGACTCCCTTTCTTCAGAGCAGTACTGGCCAGCATCAGAGACAACAATGCTCAAGATGGCCTTTATGCTACCTTGTCACCCTTCTTTTGATGTAATTAAGCTGTGGCATGGCCTGTGAAGGCTATTAGTGGATTTGATTGTAATTTTCTCTGGCATAAGTTAAAAGTTACAGGCCCAAGCTTTGAGTTTTATTACGTGGAACTTTACTGCTGAACTTGATTATTCTAGTCATTAAAACTTAAATGATGCTCTCACATGTTAATTGCTACATACTCCCTCCCAGGTGTTTATGTCCTTTGTCTTTGATAGCCAGTGACTTGTAGTCAACTTGTACTCTTTTTACAGATAGTACACATCCTAAATATGACCTCTGCCAAGATTGTTTCGTTTCTCTTGCATCCCGAGGAAAGCCTTCATTCCCTTCAGATTCGTATTGAGTTTGAAACTGGAATAAGTACTGGAAATCAGGAACTGCTGTTGGAAACAGGGATTTGCCTGGACCCTCGGAAACCTGCTTCCCAGTGTGTTATTGATGGCGTAGTAAGAATGATTTTGTTTGTTTAGTGTCTTTCTCATTCTTAAGGAATTTAAAATCCCAGGGAAGATGAATTTATCTTCTCCCACTGGAGACAGTTTGCTCTGTAAGTGTAGTAACTCATAAGGTTACATTATTTCCTTTATCAGGTAGTGTAAGCAGACTCCTATAGTCTAAATATTTAGACTCCTCTGTCTAAATATTTAAATAAAGTAACTTGCTACCAAAGGGTCCTGTGTTTCTGTGGGATCTAGCAAAGTCATTTTTTTAAGGGACCTGATAAGAAGAGTGTCTGCCCACAATAATTAGTTCGTGATGTAACCAGGACCCTCTGGGTTAGTCGGAACTATGGGATTTCTCTTATTTATGTTCTCTTTTGTTTTCTCACCAGAGAGGCTGGGATAGCTACATGGTCTATTTGTTTGATAAAAGCAAAACTGTCTATGATGGACCCTTTGCTTCTCGGAGTCTGTCTGACTGTGTAAATTACATTGGTAAGTATGCTGGAGGACAGCTGGGAACTGAAAGCGCTGCTTCTCATGTAACATGAAAGTAGATTTGTCTTATAGATCTGTGTGTTATCTTGAAGGACACTCTCTAATTCAAAGAGGACCATTTAAGAACCTGGAGCAGACTAACAAAGTTTAATCTACAGTGTTGTATCTCCACATTTTGTAGATTTAACAGTTCAGAGAATTTATTGCCCGCCCTTTGGGAACTCTCCTATACAGCAACTTAGGAATTAATTTAAGGTTTTTGCCCTTGTATTAAATTCTGTGCGCTGAACAGCATCTACCCCACCTAAACACCTAAACCTAAGCATTGCCCCGCTTAAATGGAACCACGATGTGACTGAAGGCTTGGGAGGTAGTACGTGTAACCTAATCTTGCAGCCTTGAGAGGGAAACCTTTGGCTATGTCTGCACACTACATCCTGGAAAGAAGATTCTGACTTTGGGAGTGTGATTTCATTTGCACAGCCTTCTGCTCTACTAAAGGGTCTTGTCCCTTCACACCCCCAGGATGTTGCAGTGACATCATGCTGGGAAGTGTTTTGCAGAATTTGAGTGATAACCCACGTAGACATCCTTTGGTGGTACCAAGGGTTAGAGACCTTCTTATCCTGGGGTTTAGCATCTGTAGAAGTTGTGCACACATCCCTCCTTCTCTTCCCTGTGCACAATCAGGTTTCAGCTCCTTGCAGTTCTGTTTCCTGAGTCTGGGTGCTTGGGATGTTCATGAGCAGTTGCCCTCTTACAGCTCTCCTAGATTTATGCTTCTGAACCCTGTATTAGCATCCTGAGGATACAGATTACCTTTTTGCCCTGTACTGTCTGTGATAGTTGCGTTGCAGCTGTGATCCATCTCTCATGTTTTGCCTAAGTGGAAGAACAGGTCCTTCATTCTATGCTGCTGATCATTTATGCCCTGTGTGAGGAAACGCACCTTGCTCTGATTACAGAGCCAAGCCAGTGTGTTTGGCCATGTTCCACCAGTTGCAGAATTGCTGTCATTCCCCTGTGGAAGTTATGAGCTTGGGCTGGTCTTGAGAGACACTTGGCAGAGGTTCAAAACCTGCACTCTTGTACTGTCTTCCCAACAGTTCTTAACTTTAGTGATAATGTGTCCATAACTCCATAGCACTGATCCTGCTTCTGGTCTCACCAAGCAGAGCCAAGTGCCTGAGAAAGTCTGGGCCCCTCCTTCCTCTTTTGTTGTTAGGAGTAGAGCCTGGCTATTGCTGCATGGATACTAGTGGGATCTGCTCAGTAGGTCCCTCTTAGTTCTGGTGCTGCTGCCTGGCCCTGGCATCATCAGTATACTGGTAGACCATGCATGAAAGCTGCTTCTCTGCTTACATCTTCTCTTACATGTCTCCTGAAATGACAGCAGTCATCTGCAGGACCTAATATACCTCTATGAATATATATATATATATCTAGTATACCTGTATGAAGGACCTTGTATACCTCTGTGAAAGAAAAAATCATGTCAAGAGACAAGCGACATCCACTGGGATACTGCATGTAAAGGAAATGCCTTGTGACATACAGTTGCTGTTAAATAGCTTTATTTTCTTTGGCCTGCTCTGTGGAAGTTGTGCTGGTTTTCCCTGTTTCCTTTTACTGTAACTCAGGTTTGTTCTGATTTTTTTTTTTTTCCTCTGTTCTGGGCTATTTTATTCTGGTGAATATCATTGCATGGCATCGTTGTGCTGAATCTCTTGGAGCTAAGGCTTTTTACAACATGTTTATTGATATCCCAATGTACTGACAGTTCCCCATCTCTAAAGGGGAACACGCCTAAGTCCTGTGTCTTTTCCCCTTAAACATCTACATCAGGAATCTGGAAGGAAACGTACGAAAGATTTGAAGACATTTTCAGAAGAAACACATCAGGACAGTGACCAATATGAATTGATTAACTGGGACAATTAAATTTCCTTTGCTAGCTTGGGCAAGTGCTTTAGAGTTTTTGGATAAAATCACCCATGGGTCCTGCCTTGTGCCACATTTCATGCAGCGTGTCCCATGACTACTAGTGCCAATAGGCCAAAGTGCTCCAAGAAATCAGTACTCTTGTAGCTGTTGTCTGGCTGGAGGCAGGCTGTCAAATACCTGGGGAGCCATAACGTGAAAAGCTTGTACTTTGCTTGGGCAGCATCACATAAAAATTGAGCAGATCTTAGGTGGCTTCATTGCTTAGTTTTGGCACCTAAAGCAGGAATTAGGAATTTTGTAAGCACTAAAGTCCTTTTCTAGAGTTTCCTTTCATTTGTGTACAATTGTGTTTCTTGCATTCAGTACAGGATAGTAAAATCCAGCTGCCAGTTCCTCAGCTGCGCAGGGTATGGGCAGAAGCAGTTCACTATGTGATTGGACTAAAAGAAGATTATAGCAGACTTTTCCAGGGCCAGAGAGCTGCCATGTAAGTCATTACTCCTCATTCAGAAGATTTGGTATTATGCAAATACAGAGACTGTTTGCATGGAAATATACATCTTGGGGACTTTTGGTTACCCAAAGTTTCACAGCTCTCTGCTATTCTAGGCTTTTACATTATAAAACATATTTGCACTGGGAGCTTATTCCACTCCAGGAATTTTACTGCATAGTGCCTGACATTGATAATAACTGAAAAAACTTGAGCCTTGAATATAGTCACAGACTCACAGAATGGCTGAGGTTGGCAGGGAGCTCTGGAAGTCATCCAGTCCAACACCCCTGCTCAAGCAGGGTCACCTGTCCACATGCCTTTTAAATGTCTCCAAGGATGGAGACTCCACAGGCTCTCTGGGCAACCTGTGCCAGTTCTCAGTCACCCTCGCAGTAAAAAAGTGTTTCCTGATGTTTAGAGGGAACCTGCTGTGTTTCAATTTTTTGCCCATTGCCTCTGGTGTGTCACTGGGCACCACTGAAAAGCACCTGGCTTCGTCCTCCATGTGCACCCACCCCTCAGGTATTTGTACATTTTGATCCCCACTCAGCCTTCTCTTCTCCAGGCTGAACAGCCCTGGCTCTTTCAGCATTTCCTCGTAGGAGATGTGTTCCAGTCCCTTAATATTCTTCATGGCCCTTCATTGGCCTTTCCCCAGTATGTCCATGTCTCTGGGGTATTGGGGAGCCCAGAACTGGACCCATGTGTGGCCCCACCAGCAGTGAATAGAGAAAGATCACTTCCCTCAGTCTGCTGGCAACATTCCTCCTAATGCAGCCCAGGATAGTTGTTTCACAACTGGCAGAATGAGTAGAACTGTTTTTTATATTTGTAGGGTTTTGTCCTGTGACAGTGTCACAGAATGGCCAGTGTCATATACCTCAAGTGATAAAAAAGGTGCTGGCATTCACCAGGGGCAACATGTACTACAGGAGTCTGTAAATGCTAAGAAATATTCTGCACTGCAAAGACTGTCTAATTGAACTTGACAAAAAAAATGGGAAATGAGGAAGGGCTTTCTCTTGTTTGCTGAGGACCTGCAGCTTCTGAGCATGTGAGATGGAGACTCCCTGTTCCAAGGGTCTTACAAAATTTTCTGCTAGCTATGTATTTCCTTCAGGTAATGTGCTACCACTGGCCACATAAGTCCATATACGCTTTGAAACTAACATGTGCTGTTCTTGTTTCATTTGTTAGGCTCAGTCTTCTCCGATATAATGCCAACCTAATCAAAATGAAAAACAATATGGTGTCAGCATCTCAGCAGCTGAAAGCAAAGCTGGAATTCTTTCATCAAAGCATTCGCCTTGACCTGGAGAGATACAGTGACCAGATGGCTTATGGCATATGTACGTATTGTGTAACACTTGCCTGAGTATATATCCTATAAAGGATTGGACTGACTATGAAGGACTGTGGGTAAGAACTAGCTTAAAAGAAAATGAATGCGGGAGCTGCCATTGTGTTCTTCAGCATCTTTGTGGGTGTGTTTTAGCGGGAATAGATGCAGGAGAAGAGTTTGGCAGAAGCAAAGGCAGGAGGATAAAAAATAAAATGTTTTTGGAGACCCTTCAGTGACAGTGAAACAGGTGGTCAGCTGTTCCCCACTGAGAACACCAAGCTAAGAAAATTGGAGTATTAATAGTAGTGGTGATGTAAATGTTTACTATTTATTCATTCAGAGTCTGATTCATTTGGAGTTGTCACTGGGCATAAAATGGAGGGCAGAGTTGCTGCAGTTGATGTACAGTGGAAGGGCCACTAAGCGTTCATGGCAGAACAAATGGGCATGGTGACTATAGAAACACCATTTTGAACAGCGCTGAGGGAGTGATCTTGCTGTGCTTGATATCAGGAGGTAACATGAGTCAGGATGAGAGATGAGGTGAAAAAGCACTAGCCACAGTTTTAAGTATCACAGAAATGTCCAGATCTTACAAATACTGTTCAAGGGAGAATAGTAAGACTTATTCACAGTTTGTATATACGGCTGAAAACTGAAACTTGAGTAAAAACTTACGACTGGGCTCAAGGATGATGATGGAAAATGGAAAGACTCGGTGAACTGGTTTTGGATAGTCTGTATTTAATCAAAAGTGGCAGTTGTGGAGCCTAATGGTGGACTGTAAAGACTCAATTCATCTTAGGCTGGTGATTGCAAACCATGAAATCCTACCAGACGGTTTGTATGTGAGTTAAGGTCGAGCGTGGGTTGGTTAAGTTGCAACTTTGCTGTCTCTGTGATCTCTGGGTCACATCTCCGACTTGGAGAATCAGCGTCCTGCTCTTTGTGTTCAAATTCAACTGATATATGTAAAGTTCAGGTCATGCTTTATATTTGTCTCTACATCTTTTTATAAATTAACAACTCTCTTCTCTTAAGCTTCAGAAAAGATGCTCAAAGCCTGGAAGGAGATGGAAGAGAAGGCCTCTCAGTGTGCACAGGTAGGGTGTATTAAAGAAGCTTTGTTATGCCTCTGAAGGAGGTCATGACAGGAACTTAGTATCGTATGTGCCACTGCTCCATCCCTTCAGTATGTTTCATGTCCTGCCTGCTGTGGGAATGAGAGTATGATTGCAGGTGCATTAAAAAAGAAACTGTCGTCAGGTTGTTTGAATCTAGTGATTTGCACAAAACCAACACAAATGTCACTAGACTCAGTTGTCTATATAGGAAAGTAGACTATAAAAACATGATATTTATTGCCCAAAAGAAATGATGTTGCTATAGCCAAGATTCTTTCTGGCTGGATTTATTGCACACAGAATATTTCCATTGCTAAAGCTGAAAATAATGCTGATCACTTACTATGCAGTGATTTCAAATTGCAGTACTTCATTTAGGAGTACAGACATAAATTTCTGGTATGCTGCAAGTAAATATGCAAATTATTTTCAATAAGAGTTGTCCTTAAGAAATTTAAAGCAAAGCTAGATTCAGTTCTTATGCTGAGTAGTCCTAATAGTTAACAGATGTTTTCACTTGTGATTTATGGACAGTTGAGCTGACATAATGGCTTTCTGTTTCTCAAAGAGTTAGTTCTGCAAGAAAGGCTAGTTGAAATCTCTCTACTGTGTAGAATTCTGATCTCTGTCTTCTGGGAAGGAGCATTTTAATTTTACCTCCACTGAAAATGAGGAGAGAGGCCTTTTTGACAGAGAATAATTCTGCCTGCAGTTCTGTCCAGACCTTTATAGGGAAGGAATAAGGCTTTAGCTGTGAAAACTAGGAGCGGAGTTAGAATGATCATAGTTTATTGTCAAAAGCTGTTTCATTTTCACTTCTACTGGATGTACCGAATAAAGCTTGGGAGGGAGGAGGCACTCAGAGGGAAGCATTCAGAAGGAATGCAAGGAAAAATCACCACATTTGTAATGTATTTCTGAGAGAAGAGGTCTTTAAAATACCACAAAAGGTGCTCTCTTTTTTGTGCTCTGTGATAGTAACTAGCTGCAGGAGTGCCAAGAACATTGTGTGTTCTGCTGACGAGGACTGTTACATGGTTTGCTGGGCTGATGTCTTGCATTTCTGCACTCTTCTGCAGGGGGTTCTTGTATTGGCTCTCATAGTAATACAGAGCACAGCAATTAATACATAAAAAAATCCCACACACCATTAGAAACACAAACAATAAATTATATTGCCTGTTTTTTTCCCTATGAAGGAATAGATTGGGTAGTTCAGGCTCTGGGATTCATTACCTATCTTCGTCTAAGTCAAAAGGTTCTTGGAGCCTTGATTCTGCTTGCTCCTACGATGGAGAAAAGGGAATTGGGATTCCCACCTGAATTCACCTCTGTTTAGCTCTTTAAATTTTGGAATCTTGTTCCTGCCTGTTAGGAAGCAAGAAAGACACAAAGGAGCCTCCTTATAGCAGAATAACTCACAGCTGTCAATGGCTGTTTCCAGAAAAACAGGAACTTCAACAAGTATTTACTTCGCAGACCATCAGAATTATGGTCTGTGCAGTCCACATGTATAGTCACACTGTGTCCATTTATCAGGAGTGGAAAATATTTTACTCTCTAATACACAACTATCTCAGTCTATCAAGTGGACAGCTTAACTCCTGTGGATTCGAGACACAGTTATGCTGTGTGGTGAGTCATGATGCTACACATAAAAACATTTATTTTGATAACAGGGTTTGCTTCCCGTTTGTTTCACAGTCTGATTCTTTGATTATGTGGCTTCTTGAATCTGCTTCTTCTTGGTTTATTCTTTACCTGCAAGACCTACAGACATCCCTTTCTGGTTAAGGGGTCACATCCCTTTTATATAGCCTCATACCAAGTATTTCTGCAGCTTCAGCAAGGGGTATGTTCTGGAAAATGTTCAATTTGCAGGTCCTACAGCCCCTTGTCAGGAAGGAAGAGCTGAAATATCTCAAAATACTTTCTCAGGAAGGCCCATCAGTGCCCACATTCCATGGTGTTAAGACCCATTATGGTGCCCAGTGCTTTCCTGACCATGCTGGAGATCTCCAGTGCATGTCTGGCACCACATACCTACTTGTCAGGCTCAGAAATTTTGTTGTTGGCTGCCTCACATAACTTAAGTATGGGGGCTTGGTATCTTTTACATTTCTTTGAGGAAGATGTGAAATACCGGAGGAATGTCAGACCAAAATGCATATGGGAGGGTAAAATGCAAGAGCACCCTCTGTCCATGCTGTAAGAGTAGAAGAAAAAAAAAGCTTCACTGCTGGAACATACATAGAGCCAGAGAACGTGTGTGCATGTGTGTGCAGCATGCATTGCAAAGAGATACAATTTATGAAGAAGCTGATTTTTCTCATCCAGTGTGGTTGTTGGAGATTTGGATCTAGGTGGTATCATGCACTGAGAAGATAATAGCTGTAAACTATAGCAGCAGTCATGTCAAAGAGCTTTTTTTCTCCTCAACTCTGCATGGAATCAGCCCTTTATCCAAAAAAGTATTCTGGGGATCTTCATCTACTTCATTGCTCTCCTCCTTCAGTTTGATTTGTACCTATGTTTCCCCATTAGGCTGAAGATATTGGATATCTGGATGAGCAGATCATGGCTCTGCACACAGAGATTGTAGAGCTTCAGAAGAGTCCGTACGCAAGGCGCCAAGGAGAGGTCATGGAGAGCTTGTAAGTCTTTTGCTTATTATTTTTATTGCACAGAAATGGATTTTGTGTATTTCAGTTTCTGACGGTTTTTTTCCTCTGGTGGGGGTTCCATCAGCACTTTTGAAACGGACTCCTCACTTTTTGCAAACTGCAAGTGCAGAGTAGTTTGCAATCAGTTTAATATCATTTTGCTGGTAAAAGGGAAGATGCCACCACTTGCGGCTCTATGTTCCTCCTTCCTTTTGAAGTTCTAATAGTCGCTTGGCAGCTTTATAAGGCAGAATAGGACACTGCTCTGTCTGAAAGCTAGCTAAAGTGCAAGAAAGATTAACGTTCGGTTGCCAGAGTAAACTCATCTAACTTACCTAACTTACCCTGCAGCCACACAATGACTGGGGAAACATGGAAAACACAGCTAGGGAGGACAGGACACTGTCACTGACTATGAAACTTCATCTTGGAAGAGGATGGGCCTACGATACATCTTGGTCTCAGATGAAAAATGTAGAGGATTTTTTTTTGCACTGCAGAAGAGTGAATTTTATAGTGTTGAGTGAGAAGATTATGAGATCATTGTAAAATCTTGTTAAATATTTTCAATGTGTTTTCAAAGCAAGGATAAATAACTCCTGGAATATCTGAAATTTGGAAACGTGAATTTTTTTTGAAGTATTAAAATATGAGAAAGTTAAGTGGTATTACTGATCTTACTGATTACTGAAGACATAGGAAGCAATTATTGTAGTTTGTGTTGTTGCTGAGAGCACAAGTGACAATTATAAAAGAAAGGGATTAAATAGCCACCAAGGTTAAATAGCTTCTAAAGCTCTTGTTAATAAGAGCTCTTCTGAATGATTCTGAGTATTCTGGGAGGAAATGTGCCTGTTCCTGGTATGTTCTCCCCGCTCCCTCTTTGCAGAGGTAGATCAGCTAAGTTGTTTCTCATCCATGTGTAGTTGCAGGAGCAGCAGAACTGGTGCACAGGGGAGGAAGTGGTGTAAGGGAGAAAACACCTCTTGCAGCACTGCCCACATTTAGAGCAACTTTAATCATGGACCTGCCTTCTAAAACATCATTTATAAGCACTTTCACTACAGCAAAGCCAAGGCTGCATTAGCTATTTGCAGGGTGCATGAAGTGTGCCCTAAGCTGTTGATTATTCTGGTCTAAAGCTACTCCTCTTACTGAAGAATGAAGTGGAGAACAGATTGAGTTTCCTGCTTTTTAGGTTTTGAGATTGTAGCAAAGCATACAGCAGAGCGCTAGCTTAAGGTTTGAAATACAGTCACAAGACACATGGCTCCTGGGTCATTTACCTGATGGTGCTGGATGCTAAAGTTCTTTCTCCCAGCGCAGCAGGAGTAAAGCGCGCCTCTCCCACTATGCTTGGCTGATGCGGGAGTTTCAGGATGACTGCAACATGCTAGAAATGCTGACATACATAAGCAGAAGCAGCTTGCATAGTCTGTTGGGGTGAGGGTATTGGGGTGATCTAAGGGCTAAAGGGAAGAAGAGGCCTTGTGAGGAGCCCAAAAGCAGAGTTAGAACCGGCTAAACTGCCACTTGTTTCTGACAGACTTTTGATTTGGAACAATTGAAGATTTGTTCAAGAGTAGAAGCTTCAGCTTTTGAACGGCTGCTTTTGAAATATTCCAGAGAAGTAACACTTACTTAATGGGAGGAAGAGAAACACTGTCCTCTTGTTTGTGATGCAACTGTCTCGTTCCTTTTGCAGAATATCACTGTAAAATTCAGGCAAAAAATGCAGAACAGGAACAAGAATTTCTCAGGCAGCTGTGCAGAAGTACCTATAATTACAAAAATGAAGTTTCATAGTTGACGATACCATGGAAAGAAGACACAGCTGAGCCATGTGAAAATTTGAAACTGAAAATAACCTCCAATTGGTATTGTTATCTGAGAAGAAAATGTATAATCAGAGGAAAAGTAAGACAGCTTTTCAGGAGGAGTTGGTTTCCGTCACAGAAAGACCATCCGTATGTTCCAAATGTCATACTTGTATACTAGCTGTAGAAGAAGGTGGCAGCTCCAATGTATGAGGTTCAGCAAGGCATAACTTAATTGTAATGCTTTTTTTGTTGAGTCACCTGCTTGTTGATACATGTATGAATCATTTTCTTCTTTTTAAAGGGAACAGAGAGCCATAGACCTGTACAAGCAATTAAAAACGAGACCTCCAGGTATGGAAGGAGATGGTTCAAAGAGTGTTTCACACTCATGCCCCATGACTAATTTTTCTGAACTCAAACACAGAAAATACTGTTTAGGAGAAGCCAAATGTTTGTATTAAAGCTAAGCAGACTCAAAGGCATATCTTCAGCTGATTTCTTCTTTTTGCTGAGCCTAGAGCTCTCCCAAATTCCTGTAGTCCTGTTCCTCAGTCCTGGGTTTGTATTTTGGTTTTCGGTCTTGGAGCATCTGCCCGGAACATGTGTCTGCCTTCTGGCTTTCTCCACCTTTTTTCCTGCCTCCAGTACTAATGCTTTACTCCCCCGAGGCATGGGAAGAACTGGTCTTCCTCTGTCATCACTCTAACCCAAGGGCAGTCTCTTTTCTCCCTCTCCTCTCTTAATTGTACTGGATGGAGCCCCATGTTTGGTGATTATTATGTTCTGAACTTAGTAACTGGTGAGCAGAAAGATTTAGTTACCTGTGCATTTGGCAACTACCTGCAGTTCTTATTGAAGCCAGTATCTAGACAGCAAGTGTGGCTGGAATTGTATATATTACTGCAGAGAGAAGAGATGTTAAGCAAGAGCTATGCCTAATGAGAAATTGTGCCAGATTTTAAGATGTTTCATTGTGTTTCAGTTTGTTCGGCTGCACTCCTTAAGTCAAATCTTTCCTTGACTTCTGGGCGTTCGTGTCCAGAGTGGCTCCTCGCTCAAGAGCAGTTTACTAATGTGATGATTGATGGCCCTTCCAGATCATGCCTACAGTGACAGCACGGACATGGTGAAGATCATTGTGCAGACAGTACAGAGCCAAGACCGAGTTCTCAAGGAGCTCTTTGGCCATCTCAGGTACTTTATGCAGAAAAAAACCCAAACAAATGCAACTTGCAGCACTTGTAGCTTTATAGGAGGAAAGGAGAGGGAAAACCATGGAGATCAGAACCCAAAAGCTCCATCCACAGGTATACATCTCTCATAGTAATATGTGTGTCTCTGTTGAACTTCCACTTACTTTTTTAAAACATATAGCTAATAGGGAAGGGGAGGAGAAAGCAATGGCTTGTACTGTTAGCATCCAGCACTTCACTTTAAAATGAGAGAAATTTTGCCAGTGTTTAGGTTGGGATTAAAATCTTAAGGGCGGGGTGGGGGGGAAGTGTAGCAGCTGAGAAGATACCACAGTGATGTATTCATTAATTCTTCAAGTAGCTCAGAAAAAATGTCATTATGCAGATTTCAGTAAAGAATTCAGCAAAGCATAATTTAGGTTTATTCTCATGTGTGGCTTACGCTTAGTAGATCCCATAAAGAGAGTTGCTAGCTATGGTATGGTCAGCCCACAGAGACGAACACAGACCAGAGAAGATTAATAAAAGACCATGGTTGAATTGCTGTGCTGTCCATTGTCATCAGGATCAATTTTTGCACTTCAAATAAGAAAAGCTTATATCGTGGGTATTAATAGTAGTGTCACCTGCCTAATTTTTTGTCTTAACTGGACTTGGAAAAGTCCAGGGGTCCTCCCTCCAGTCTTGCAGGTTTTGTACCTGCCAGCTGTTACAGTGCTGTGCTAAGAGGAAGGAATGTTCTCACAGAATTTTTCTTGAATCTCGGGGTGAAACTCTTGGTTTTACCAGAACATATTGCCACGCAAGCTGGAAAGTAACTTTGTGTTTGTTTTTTATTATAGCAAGCTCTTGGGCTGTAAGCAGAAGATCATTGACTTGCTTCCAAAGATTGAAGAGGCTCTAAATAACATCAAGGAAGCTGACAACTCAGTGATGCAGATGCAGGGCAAAAGACAAAGGGAGATATGGCATTTGCTGAAAATCGCTTGTGTAAGTAGCTTTTGGACTAGTTGTTTGCTCGTCCTTCCAGTGCAGGAGCCAGGGGACATCCAATGAAATTCTGAGGAGACTAAAAAAGGATAACTTCCACACAATGGTTGATTCTGCTGTAGAGAAGGGAAGTTTGAGATGCTAAAAGTTGACAGTTTTAGAAGGGAGGTAGACAAATTCATGGAAAAGAAGCCCAGTAGAGGAGTACTTGGTCCCAGTAAGCCATCAAACTGCAAGTCACTGGTAGCTGGAGTACGGTAGACATGCCATGCCATGAACCTTGTTCATCTGTTCCCCAGATGTCTAGTGTTGACCACTGTTGGAGGGGTACACTGGGACTGGCGAACTTCAGCCTGACATATTAAACCTGTCATGATTTAAGTGCTGCAAAAGCAAAATAGGTGGTTTCCTGGTTAAAGACTGCATTGCTTTTTCTGCATCAATTATAGTGACTATACAGCTAAAGCGATCTCCTGATTTCCACATGCCTACATTCAAGGTCAGCATAGGAAACATGTTTGTCTTTCCACTGTCAGGAGAGTTCCTGCTGTGCATGGCTCTCAGTTTAGGACATGGCACTGCTGCTTAATTCTTCAGTGTAGAAGACATGCCATGTACAACACGGGTGACTTGCACACAAAGACATTTGGTACCAGCTATTTGCAGAACTGTGGAGGGTTGTATCAGCTGACTTGCCAGCCACAGGCATGGCCTAGATTATGTGTATATGTTACAAACAGTGCTTATGTTTAACTGCAAGTCTTGCATACAAAATAATTAAGCCTGACTAAATTCTTCCTTTGTCCATCACAGCAGATGAATTTCTTTTTTCTAGACTCAGAGCTCTTCTCGATCACTGGTAAGCTCCAGCCTGGAAGGGACAACCTCAACTCCAGCAGCCACGTGGCTCCCACAGAGCTCCTCAGGGAACATACCTCACCCTCTGTCACCTATGGCCACTCCTGAAAATGAGTAAGAGCTGTTGGGCAGGGAGGCCACTATAAAGAAGTCACTGTAGCCATTTTGTATGCATACACTCTGAAATCCTGTCCTTGGCCACTGGAGTCTCCAGTGCTGAAGGGGCCTGAGGTGCATGTCTTCACCATATCCCGTGTGGTGCTTTTTGGATATGCTGGGCAGGGGGAGTTTTGGCATACTAGACTGTCTCTGAAAGCAAGATTGTTCACCTCCTGACTGGAGTTTTAGTAACTTACCTTTGGCCATACCACAGCAAAATGCAACAATGAGATTTTGAGCCAAAATGCAGTTGATCTCCATGAGCTAGCACTATGCTATTCCTTTCTTGCATGTCATGTTATTCTCTTTTGGGATTGGATTTGGTTATTAAGGCCTCTCTCTCTCAGCCAGTCCTAGCTGAGTAAGAGAGTTGTGAGGAGCTGAGGGGTTTTTCTCTTTGCTTCATTAGCAATTTATACTTCCAGTCAGCATAGCAGACAGGAAGGTGCCCCTCAAAGACTGCTCAGCTCTTGATCCTCAGTAGTGCTGGTTTTGTGGGGGCTGGGGCAGGGGTTGTGAACACCAGCATCAAAGTGTTTGGCCATCTCTTTCTTTTTGGGTGGTCAGGGAAATAACTAGGTTCTGAAGATACACATTTTCTAAGCAGGCTTTTGCTGGAAGTCAGTTGATCTTTTTTGAAACCTTGAGCAACTTTATTCACTTCCTTTTTTCTGTCTGCAGATGCAGGGAAATTTTCACCTCGGAGTAGTGTGGGGTGATCGCCCTTTAAGAGGTGCTTTTCTGAGCAAGGTGCCTTTGGATCACCTCAGAGCTCCTCTTCGAACCATGACTTCGCTGTACAAGTCATGGTACAAAGAGTCAAGAGATGTAAACCTGCAGAGAGTGGGCAGTGATTTCAGGCCGCTTGTACTTAGCTCCCTTCCTAGTCTCTGAAAAGGTTGAATTTCAGTGTGGTTTGCGCAGTTCCTCTGTAGGGAAGGAGAACAAATCCACACTTCCAGGGTGGAGATCTGCAGGATGCCACCTCAAGTCATGTTGTGCCCTACAAGGTAGCTCCTACAGTTGCAGAGAACTCCTACAAATCTTTTTTGGGGGGTTGTTCGGGTTTTTTGGGGGTTTTTCCCCCAGCAGAGAGCCTTTTGACATTGGTGTTACTTTGTGTCTTAAATCTGTCGTCTTATGCCTTCCCTTCCCTGCAGGGAAAATTTTGTCCATGTGATAGAAGAGAATCTGAATTACCTCGAACTCTTTAGCAGTATTTTGCAGGAGGCGAGACAGGAGCAGAACAACAGCATGATGGTAAGTCTGTTGATGTATCTCTGAGGACCTGATTTTTAAGACCCTTAAATAGGGTCATTTGTGATACGAATTGCTGTGGCTGGCATGTGACGTCTGTCATTCCTCCTGGACTCTGCTAACATGCCGGTCGTTATGGAAGGTAGCATTGGTGCTAGTGTCAGCCGAGTAGTCTGCGTGGCGGAGTGGGCTGTTCTGTGGGACCCCCAGGCTGGTAGAGCTCGCTCTGAATGCTGGTTGCACTCTCAGCTGGAGAGTCCTGGTTTGTGTCCCTGCACTGGAATGGGCAGGGTTCCCCATTTCCAGAGCCCTTTTCTGATTGTTGAAGCCCTCCTTATGGCAAAAGTGGGGCTTTGGAGAGTCCTAAGAAGGCTCTTTGCACAAATTGGTTTTTTAAATAGCAGGAAATGACAAAAGTAGGTAACGATTACCAAGACGTTTTGATGCAACCTGAAACTGTGTTCCTGAACTACCAATTGAGGCCAGTAAGTTACTATTCAAAAGAGCCCGGTTACCAGAAGAATCAAGAGCACCACAGAATACCAGCCTTTTAGAAGAGGCTCTCAGCTGATTTTAAAAGCTGTATCATAGAAGCATCTGTATAAATATCATGAGAAAAGGAGGCATGTAGATTGACCTGTTTATAATGAAGAAGAGTCAATACAGCTTCTGTTAGCATGAGATTGTCTCACAAATTTATTGCAGTCCTGTGGAGAAGTCAAAGATCCACTGATACGCTGTAACTTGGGTTTTCAAAAAGCTTCTTAAAGATCTCCTTAGGAATAACTTCCGTTCTTGTGGGATAAAAAAAGTTGAAGGTGTTTACCAATTGTAACTGCTGAAATAAAAAGGAACAGAGGGTTGAGGAAATGGAGGTCATTGATGAAATGGGGCCCTTATAATTCATAAACATTTTAATGTTGTAATGTTTATGAATAATAGCAAACAATGCACTGAGTGTAGTTAACTTAGTAACTGGAGTTACTAAGTTATTCGGGATGATTAAATGAAAATTTATTAGTGGGAGTTGCAGATGACACTCTAATAGCAAGGAATGGAGCAATATGAATGGGGAAATTAAATTAGCTACGGATTAATGCAAAGTAATTATGTTAGTGGGGAAAACAGCCTTAATTTTGCATACCCTGGGCTTCATCCATTGGTTGATGAATGCTTTGCTTGTCTTTGTTCCGTCCTGACAGGGTTGATATCAGTTGTGTAACATAATCTTCTCTCCTGTCTTGTCTCCTTGGTGTGGCTGGAGAGAAGCAAGAAGCCGTATGACTGGCTTCTTACCTGTTAATCATCCATGTCTGTCATCTCCTGTACTTCATTCCAAGGTGCAGCATCTCTCTCTGGTGTGTTTTAGCCTCGAAAGATTATTCATTGTTGTGGAATCATGCTCTGCAGATCAGTACCTGTTTCGTTATTTTTCTTTCCCCTTTTCCTTGCAGCAGGGGACAGAAGTTAGGTGACAGGAAAGCAGCAGAAAATGGGATTTGTTCTCTTCAATTCGCTTGAGGAAAAAAAAAAAAAAGGAAAAAAGAATTAATAACTATAAGAAACTTTTCTCTCTTCTTGCATACATTTGACTTGGAGCCTGCCTTTCTTTTTCATTTGTGTTCTTGCACTACCAGTATCTCCCATGGTGTACTAGGAACTCCAGCGGCAGGTTTTGTCCAGGCATAAAATGTACTTTCCAAAGCAAGTACAGTCTGTGACATGCCTGAGCACTGCAGTAAGTATGGGGGATTTTGTATTGGGGACAAACCGAGTTGTGAAATTGAGAGATTACTTTTCCGCTGTTAGATCAACATGATTCTTTGAGAAGAGAGAGATGCTTGCTGCTGGCATCCTTTGGTCACCACCTTGGAAACGTACATTCAGTAGCCGTTTCCTGCACTGCAATTGTTTCCTTGCTTCTTTCAGAGTTTTGATTGGAGCTGGCTGAAATAGCCAAAGGAGCCGACCTGCTGCTACCTGCAGAGTGTCTGCATGCTGAGAGGTGGCTGAGCAGCCTTCAATGTGACGAGCTGGAGAAGACTGGTCCATCAATCACCTTGTGTTTTGTAATCCTTAGTGGAGTTGATTTCAAGGGTGGTGGGCAGTAGGGGATACACCACCAGCAGTAACAAACAGCGTTTTACAGGCTCTTGCCTACTTGGGCTTTCACATAAACACCTAACCCGCCGGTTGGA